AACGAAAGAAACCAAGCAATACATAAAAGAAATATCAACATGAAAAACGAAAAGAAAAATTATTTTTAATTGTTTGACTCCCTATTAAGTTAACAATTCTTTGCTGATATCACCTGAGTAGGTCAGATAGTCATTAGGGGTTTGAACAATAATTCGTTCTCTACAATTACCATCAATCATAATTGTACACTTCCATTTCTTCTTCTTCTTCTTCTTCTTCTTGTTCTTCTCCTCCTCTTCTTTTCCTCTTCTCCTCCTCTTCTTCTTATCCCCTTCTTCTTCTCGTCGTTGTCGTCTACTATTTTTCTCTTCCTTCTTCTCTTCTTATTCTTCTTCTTCTCTCCTCCTCTTCTTTTTTCTCTCCTCCTACTCCTCCTCCTCTCTTCTTCTTCTTCTTCTTCTTCTTCTTCTCCTCCTCCTCCTCCTCATCTTCTTCTTCTTCTTCTTCTTCTTTTCCTCTTCTCCTCCTCTTCTTCTTATCCCCTTCTTCTCCTTCTCTTCTTCTTCTTCTTCTCGTCGTTGTCGTCTTCTATTTTTCTCCTCCTCCTTCTCTTCTTATTCTTTTTCTTCTCTCCTCCTCTTCTTCTTGTTTTCTTTTTTCTCTCCTCCTACTCCTCCTCCTCCTCTTCTTCTTCTTCTTCTTCTTCTTATTCTTCTTCTTCTTCTATGTGCCTGGTCCTTTCAGGGTATAGGCGATCGTGTCACACGAGATAACTGGCAGTCAGTAAGCAAAAGCTCGAATCCGAAATCAGTTTAGACTGTTTCAGCTGATACCTTATTCAGAATCTCCGACTGTAGTATTTTACAATCTGAGAGAAAACCTTTGACAATTAATGTTCAATCTGTTCAAACTCTAGCTGTTGTCTGATTTGCGCCAATAATTCTTTAGTCACATTCACATTCATATACACATTTGGAGGTCTTTGCATACAATATCTTTCTTTGTTTCTTTATAGTTTCTTTCTTTCGTTCTTTCTTTCCTATTTTCTTTCTTTCTTTCTTTAGCACTTTCTTTTTTTTTTTTTTTTTTTTTTTTTTTGAAATTATTTAAACCACCGTCAAATGTTCTTAGGAAAGGGCAGGTTAATTCGAAGAGTACGCTACATCGTGACAACCGAATTTGTCTTCGTGAACTCGAGAACGCAGAACGCCTTTTGCCGAGGACTCATCATTCCTGGGTGGGTGGAACAACACGACGCGACTACAGCGCCCCTATTGCAATTATTTAAAACTTTAAAAAAATCCTTTTTCAAATGGTCACAGACTCAATCTATGACGATGCTTGAGAACTAAATCAATGCGTCATGAAATCGGTTCATTCTTCTTTAATAATATATATATATATATATATATATATATATGTGTGTGTGTGTGTATATGTATATATATGTGTATATATATATGTATATATATATATATATATATATATATACGTATATGTATATATATATATATATATATATATATATATATATATATATATATATATATATATATATATATATATATATATATGTATGGCGTGTGGGAAAAAGTAGTAATGCGCATGTTTGGGTGTGTCACATACTGGGAAAGTGATGAATTTGAGGTAGATGCATTGCTCTTGACCAATGCAGGTGTTTTGCGCACACACATCAAACATTGGAAATATGGCGGTGTCAAAAGCAGCCCGTTCGGGGTCTGTGTTATTATTTTAATTTTTGCTTGTCCACAGCCGCATCAAACATTTCGGCTTAAAAATACGAGGGAACGTTCCACCACTCATTGGTTCAGATCGGCAAATATATCCTTCTGTGATGAACCCAGCAGTACCCGGTCACAGGTATTGAAGGCAGCCATAGACAACGGCCAAACCTGTGGAGAGCTTGTCGATCGCTTCCGGGTTCTTGATGAAACAGTCAAACCTTACGCACACACTATCTGAAGCCGGCAAGCTATAACGAGTGACAGCCCGTTTCTCGTTGCTTTTCCGCCACCACAACGTGTACCCATATTTGATCGAGTGTTCACCAGTGACGAAAAGTGGGTTCTGTATGAACGCCAAAGGGTGGCTGGCATTGGTTGTCATCACTGGACCCTGTCGTTCACACGGCAAGGTTATCTCTATACATACGTAAATCATACTCTCTATATGGTGGGCTAGTCGACAAGTGGTGCACTACGAGCAGCTAACAACGGACCTGTACTCGCAGCAGTTAAAACGCGTGCACACAGCCAGAGAAGCAGAAGGAATCAGTATTGGTGTACTCTTCCTCTAAGACAATGTCAGGCCCCATGTAGCGCGGGTGTGATAGCATATGGTAACTTGGCTGGTAGATATTTTTCCATCGACCTTACTCCCCAAAACTTGCGCTAACCTTTTCCATTCCGCGGACAACCACCACCTGGGAAAATCCTTCGCAAATGAGGCAGACTTGTGGCAAGCACTCACAGACTTCTTTGCATCCAAGAGATCGGATTTTTACAGAAAGGTAGTTGCAGAGCTGGAGGGACGTAGGCAGAAGGTTCTGGAAGCCGATGGGGATTAATTTGAGGATTAACGATATGTCACATTTGGTGGATACCTTTTTTTCTTAATTAATAAAAAACGGCAAGGACTTTTGTTACCATTTATATTTGTGAAGAATAATGAATTTTAAAAAAAATATTAATCCAACATACGTTTGTTACTTTAAATACTATTTTTAATGGTTAACCAAATTTGAGTAGCCATATTTGAGTATATTGTAAAATTATATATATATTCTTATATATATATATATATATATATATATATATATATATATATATATATATATATATATATAAAGACATTTAATGTTTATACATTCTTTTTAAAGATACAAATATTTAAGTAAATAGTCTGTTTATAATAAAATATTTGTATCTATAAAAAAAAGAATGTATAAACATAAAATATCTTAAAATAATTGTCGGACTTTGTCCATTTCATAATGTGTGACGTCTTATATATATATATATATATATATATATATATATATTTTAAATTTACTAATTCAAAAATATGGTCACATTCACAGGAATTACTGTTTCAAAAACAGAAGCTAAAAACTTCAAATTCAATTACAGAATTAAATTATCACGATAATATATATTTTAATTTAATTCTATAATTGAATTTGAAGTTTTTAGCTTTTTTTTTCTGAAACATGGTAATTCCTTTGTAGCGATGCAACCATATTTTTAAATTAGTAAATTTGCATTGAGCACTGTTTTGTAAAAATAAAAATATTAATAACGCCAGATTATATAACTTAATGTTCTTTCTCTTTATTATAAACACACACACACACACACACACACACACACACACACACACACACACACACACACACACACACATATATATATATATATATATATGAAGAAACTTAGTGTATAGTATATGTTTATGAAAATACTGACGATAGCCAGACGGACAAGCAGATAGAAATTGAGCTTTAGATATAGTACCCTGGCCCCTGAGAGAGAAAACGATAGAAATCTCGTGGTAACCTTTTGACTCACTCGACATTTCTCGTAAGGATTACAATTTCCAGGCACCAGGCCATTTTCCTACAGGCAAGAACTTTGCTAATCAAGATTATCGTGAAGAAATCTACAATGAATTTATCAGCATTTATGAATGAAGAATTCTATAAGAAGGAAATTGTTGATTTTGATGACAAGGTTGAAATAAATGTACAAAAAGCCTCGAGGAAAAATTTGCATTCAAGAAATGTTTTTTCGGCGATTAATTTTTCGTTTTCTTTCATTTAAAAAATCTTTAATATCCTGTTAGACTACCTGGTATTATCAATATCACTTCTCATATTGATCTAATTCCTATATTCTCCATATATTTAAAATCTATTTAACTCTTTTCATTATCTATCTATCTATCTATCTATCTATCTATCTATCTATCTATCTATCACGTTCTTATCTATGATCTATCTCCTTATGTTCATATATATCTAACTATTTTATTATGATCTATCTTTTTAGATATCTCAGACTTTTCATTATCTATCTATTTTACACTTTTCATTATGTATCTTTCTCTTCATATTCTTATGCATCCATCTATTTTACACTTTTCATTGCCTATATATATATATATATATATATATGATATATATTGATATATATATATATATATATATATATATATATATATATATATATAGGCAATGAAACCAACTGTACAAATGGGCCTTGGTGACAAAGAAGTGGCGAGTTATACTCGATATAGCGCTGCTTGATCACATATTCTGTGATGGAACTCATCCGAGTTTCTCCTTACCCACAGGACTGTGCCCCCACGAGCCACAACTACTATCCCAAAGCCGCTCAATCCAGAGAATTAGAAGCCGGTTCAAGCAAGGATATACAAGTGATAGAAATTATTAGGAGGATTTAAGATAATTATAATTAAGTAATTCATCGAGTCTAGAAGAAACCTCAACAGAATGCAGAAAGCACTGGACGGCCGTTTTGTCCAATATTTGTGACTCATCAGCAGTGCGCATCCACTACTGAGAATTGAAACCACGACAATCAGGCAAAACGTCATACCAACTGTACCAACGGGCCTCAGTAACGAAGTAAACTCGATATAGCGCCGCTCTTCACAAATTCCACTATCCTTTCTCTAACTGGCGTCTAATACTCTGGATGGAGCGGCTTGGAGATAGTAGTCGTGGCTGTTGGGAGTACCGTCCTGTGGGGAAGAGAAACTCGGATGAGTTCCACCACAGAATATGTGCTTATTCTTCGTCATTGTGTCCTGTTGATACAGTTGATATGGCGCTTGCGTCATACAGTAACGGTCCGAGTTCAATTCTCGGTCGTAGGATGCGCACTGCTGATGAGTTCCAAATCTAGGACGAAACGGCCGTCCAGTGTTTTCTGTTGAGGTTTCTTCTAGACTCGATGAATTACTTAATTATGATAATATATATTTCTCATTTTGTTTATATGTATCCATCTATTTTATAATGATCTATCTATCTATCTATCTATCTATCTATATATCTATCTATCTATCTATCTATGTAATTCGATCTCTTTTTAGCGATCTCGAAGCGAGAAAAATGGAAAATCGTAAATACAATTCCGCCACGTACATTAAAAATAACCATTCTCTCACCAGTCGGTTGACATGCATCGACAGTTGTTTGAACCCACAAGTCAGTATTTCAAACATCGACTCTCAAAGCTTCTCCAAACCCAACTTTGAAATATTGGTGCAATTGTTTAGCCTATAGGTCTGGCTAAGTTAAACTTAATCAAATATCAAGAATAGATGCCAATGCGTTCGCTTTTCTAAGTCAACGTCAGTCGTTGCTGTTCTTCCAGCCGCGATTACCCTTTTTGCTGTCGATGTCTTGTTTTTCGTTTCATCAAATTACCTTTTCTTTCGCTACGGCCTTCCTCCTCTCTGTGCTATCAAGTCACCAGCATCTCATGCCGTGAGAACCTGTTTAAAATAAACCTGTTATTGTGGCTTTTCTATTCAGAGGTCGCCATTTCCCGTACATCACACTTTGTTACGCTCGTTCGATTCCTAATGTGACAGGGGCAATATATATCAAACACACATGTACGCACGCACGCAGCGCACACACACATACACACACAAATACGCACACGCACACGTGTATATATATATGTTACAAATATATTATTTAAAAATAGGGCACTGACACAGTCAAAACATGAAAATAAGCTAACTACACCAAAATCAATCCCCTTGAAAATGGCTAAAGGTTTAAAACTCTGGAAAAACTAAATAATAAATTAATAAAATTTTCCTCGTTCGTCATATTTAGCAAAAGATGTTTAAAAAGAAAGTTTATATATATATATATATATATATATATATATATATATATATATATATATATAGAGAGAGAGAGAGAGGCGGGGGAGATAGATAATATCAAATCCGTGAGTGGAAAAGATAAGCCAAGTGATTCATTTTAATATAAAATATAGATCCGTAGAAAGTTCAATGTATAAAATACAGAGCAATATGATATAAATAAAGGAAAGCTTAACACATCACAAATTTTGTGATGTGTTAAGCTTTTCCTTGATATATATATATATATATATATGCTTTAAAAATCAGGAGCTCAAATGAATCCGGTACCTTGATTTCAACATTACGGTATCCTTGGGTGATTTTTATCAAATGACCTCTTAACTTTTTTTTTTTATTAAATATTTTTTTAATTAAATAAATTAATAATATACCGTTCATTATTAAAAAAAAAAATGAACGCCATATTATTATTTCCAAAAGTGAATAAACAAACACACATATACGTTGATGTTACAGAAAAATGGAGGAAAGTGTGAAGAAGAAGAAGAAGAAGAAGAAGAAGAAGAAGAAGAGGGGGAGGGGAGGAGGAGGAAAGAAGGGGGAGAAAAGAAGGAGAAGGGTAGAAGGGGGAGGAGGGGAGAAGAAGAAGGAGGAGGGGAGAAGAAGAAGAAGAAGAAGAAGAAGAAGAAGAAGAAGAAGAAGAAGAAGAAGAAGCAAGATTATTGTAAATGCATCGATGGGGGCTTAATTAAAATGGACATTACTTTTATAACATTATTTATCCAGCCTCATATAGGCATAAGAGCAATTTTCCGGATCCAAAGAACCTTTTCAATCAGAAATCCGAAGTCCTTGCTTACATATCAGAAAATTCCTCTTAAGCAAATACAAGGCTGGAAAGAAAAAAGGTAATTTCATCTGACCTCTACTGTTAACCATACAGCCATAGAGAAGCTTCTGGTTAGCAAAGTCCGAATTACTGTTTATAAACATACACCTTCGACGATTTTTCTCGATCGATCATATGTTTCTGCTCACGAAACATCTTTACGAAATTTTTCGTACATTCAAGCCGGTAAATGTAATTAATATTGTTTAATTAAAAAACACAGCATTTACTTAGATAAAGTAATATTTATAAAAGTAACGTATAAACAGAATATATATATATATATATATATATATATATGCAGATCCTATGAGAACGAATATAGTAACATTCCAAGGTTTGTAGCGTTTAATTTAAAAGAGGGCTCAATACAAAGTCGATCAGTATTATTTATTTTAGGATATTACACCGAAAACATGTCAAAATCGATACACAATTGCAGTCGTGTTTCGATGTGTATCAATACATCTCATCAGGCGATTGTAAATTACTGGCGAGTGAACGATACAACCTATTTTTACAAAAAAAGAAAAAGGTGGGGTTATAAGATTTATAGTCTTTACTATGATCCACCAATCAAATATGGCCTACGTTAAATTTAAACTCAGCGAAGAAGCAAAAATTTAAAAAATAATCTTTTTTTATAAATGGGTCATGGCCCATAGATTGGCAGCTAAGGGTAGCGGATGTGAACAGATACATAAATTATACAAACTAGACAATGCCATTTCCTAAAAAATGATGGGGTGGAGAGTTGTGAATTTCCTACGTAAATTTTTTTGTAATACTATCTACTAGGAGATAAAATTATATTAAATCCAAATTAATATTATAAATAGAAAGATAAGACATATATGGTGCAACGCAGTTCAACTAAAATATAAGAAAAATCATAATCAAATTCCAAATTTCAACTAAACTGCAAGGTATTAGGTAAACTATGTTTACAATTTACAGTTAATTCATTCTTCTGATTTAATAAGGATTTTTATTTAATCTGATAATTTCAAGTTTCTCCCGTAAGCACAGAAAACGGGGTTCTTGCCGATTTTAAAGAGTTAATATGGTTAATATTTCTTATTTGAAATAGACGTCCCATTTTATCAAACACATTATATTACGCCTATTGACATAGTTTACCACTCGGCGACGAAGGACTTGACTGTAAGGTAGGGTCTTGTGACGCTATTTAAAGAATGCACATATATTTCATTCAGATTATATTTCTCCAAAGAATATGTGTTGTATCCGAAATTTAAATAAAGCAATTTCTAAAGAATTAAATGAATTCATTTTCATCCGATATTTTTATTAATTCGGACGTTAATATAGTGAAAATTTATTATTTGAAATAGATTCCCTACTGAGTGGACATTGAGAGCATCAACCAGAGACGACTGAATGCAAGTTGCATGTCCTGTTATAGGAGGGAATGTTGGTTTCAGTTCGATTAAGACGTGTTTCTCCATTGAAGCCAGATATGTAGGCATTTTGCCAGATAATGTTAAATAGGTCAACCGTTTCGATACCTAATTATGCGCGCGTGTACACACACATACACATATACAAATATACACACACACACACACACACACATATATATATATATATTAATTTGATTGTATGTGTTTTATTGTCTGTTTGCATCAACAGGAATAAAGGTATAAATAAATATATTATTCAGCCTGAACTGTAAAGTACATTGTAGCAAATGAGTCGACTTGAACAGTGTAAGGGACGCAACTCTTTCCGTCTGAAAATGTCTGCAACGCAAACCGATGTACACCAAGCACGAGTGAAATGTTGGTCTGCCAATGTCTCCAAGCAACCTGCTTTTATGGAGCCCAGACACACCTCATTAGCATGTGTGTAACGCGACTTTGCGTGACTGCACGAGACCGTGAATATTAAAAGTCACGGACGCCATTTTGAATCTTTTCTTTCCTTTCTCAACCCACAGGCCAGGAAGATGCGAGAACGTTTGCGAGGTAGGCCGTTTCTATTTTCCCCACACTTCCCCTGATCTCATGATCACAGAGTTGACAGGAGGTGGTGATCGCTTGCGCCGGGTACTTCTTCGAAGAGGGACGCTGCGAGCCTCATCGTTGCTTGTGCTCCTGTCTGAGGTCTGAGGGTCGAAAGACACCGCGTCCCTTGGAAGGCTACTGATATCCGAGTCACTGCCTGATGGGGATGGCGTGAACCAGAGCGATGCCTCACTGGTCTCAGATTCCGATTCGCTCTCATCGTCCAGCGGTGGTTGCAACTGCGTCGACGGACGCAGGTCCTTAACGTGACGGGGCACACCGTCGACCCGTACCGCCTGTGGGCTGATCACCTCAGTGACGCGTCCGATTCCGTATTTCGTGGTGCACTTGCTGTGCGGATTTTTTAATCCAGACGACATCGCCTTTCTTCAGCCTCTCTCCGGTTACTTTCAGTTCCGTCAGTGGGTTGGTTTCTATGCCCTTCACTCTAACGTGGTACCTATGCAATGTGTCTGCTGGCGCCGTAGAGGGTGAGACATTATCCTTCGGGGTCACGTTGTATAAGTAGACCGCCTCAGACACCGCGCAGCCCGTCCTGGCTGCGATGGTCTTGACGGTCCTGTGGTTCCGCTCGATGATTCCATTTCCACTCGGTACGTGGGCGCACCGGAACCGTAAGTGCACTCCCCAGCCATCCGCAAACTTCCCGAACTGCTCGCTGGTGAATGCGGTGCCATTGTCGGTTAGTATCTCCGTTGGGGGGCCACGTTCAAGAAAGATGCTGTTTAACTGACGGATGATAGTGGCTGCATCTTGCCGACGCAGCAGTCGCCATATCGCAAACCTGGATGGACCACAATCAATGAGTGTCAGGAAATGCTCGCCGTTGTGGTGAGTAACATCTATCGCCAGCCGGCTCCAGTGGTTCCTCACGCTCAGCTGCCCTTTCTTCCAGCGAACGGGTGCTGGGTCTATAGACTGGCACGCCACGCAGCTTCTGACCACTCTCCTGACGTCTGCCTTTTGTACTCCTGGGTCAACCAACTTGGCGAAATTCAGTGTCCGCTTGACTCCAGGGTGCCCACTTTGTTGGTGGACTTCTTTGATTTGATTAAATCGAACGGGACTCACGGACGCAGCGCAGGCTGGTTGCACGGGCTCAATGGCTTTCTTAGCGGCGTCAAGCCACCTTTGCGGCACCCTCGTTAAACAATCTGCTTTGTTGAGGCTAGATTTGACCAGGGACACCTCCATTGTCAGTGCGTACTCTTGCACTAAATTCACGATCGTGTCGAGCCGTCGTCGGATAAGCATCTCGCTGGTGGCGCAGTCCGCACCCTGGCCCTCCCGGTCAAGGTATCAGAGATCCACTTATAAACGCAAGCGGAATCAGTGAACAGACGCAGGGTGGTCGACTTCCAGAGGATCGCCAAGTTGATCCCCTTGATGACAGCATCGAGCTCCGCCAGGTTTGTGTGCTGGGAGTCCCTTTCTGGACGTAACCAGCAAGCATCTTCTACCACGGCTCCATCGTGAACTATCGATACGCCGGTTGCAAGAGAGCTTGCGTCAACCCACACACAGAGGTATTGGCTGTCAACGCACCATCTGCCCCGCGCTGGGTCTTCCTTGCGTACTCTAGCGAGGACCTCCTTCATCATGGTGTTGAGAGGGGCGTCGTGAACTTCGTCATCCCATCCAGTGGTGACGTCAGATGCTCTCCGCTTGATAAACGCCACCGCAACACGCAGCCAGCCACCTACAGGAAGGTGTCCAACTAACTTGCCGCACAAGGAAAATATGCTTCGCCGCATGACAACGGAGGGCATGTCTGGGAGTTCGTTTCCCCGTTTCCAATACAGGACGTCATCTTCTCCCCAGACCTGCAAACCAAGCACCCATGCACCATCCTGTAGTCTCTCCGGTTCCTTGCTGAGGAGGCCAAAGTTGTAGAGATGCTCCTTCACGCGCGCCGCAGATACGACTCCCTCGTTCACGTACACGTCATCAATATATGCAGATGTTGCCCGCTGTATGCGCTCATCCTTCGTTAGAATGGCGTCAACAATCATCTGCATAATCGATGGCGCCACATTGAGTCCAAACCCCATGCGGGTCAGGCAATACCTTTGCCCCTTGATAAGCACGGTTTGATAGGGCCACAGTGATTGGTGCACACGCACTTGAAGGTATGCCTTGCGAAGATCCAGCACAGATACATGTGATCCTGCTTGTCGCCATTCCCTTAGCTTCTCGGTACACACGTCCGCGCGGGCCGTAAAAGGGTCCACGTGCTCGTTCAGTTCTCGATAGTCGAGCACCGGCCTCACCTTTTGTTTGTTGTGCTGGAGAACCGCCATTAGCGGGATCAGGCCCTTTGGGGACCCCAATTCCTTCTCTGGATAAGGAACCAACCACCCGTTATTAATCCAGGCTCGCAATTCCTTGTCGTACTCCGCACGAGCTCGCGGGGGATCTTATACCCGGCACATTGTTGTACAGCTTCTCTCGCGGTTGATCGTCTGACCATTTCCAAGATACCGTCCAGGACTTTGTGCGCTGGTCGAACTCCGCACGAAAGTCAGGCCGTTCCAGCTCCATTGCTGCACCTAGAGCTAGACCTGTTTCAGTGAAACGCGCCCGACCCTCTTCGTCAACACGGACACCACCCAATTTTTTGATGACGTCCATCTTAGGGAGCAGATCATAGCCGAGCAGCCCTCCGTCCACGACCAGGGCTTGTACAGCTACTGCAGGCCCATCGCCGATGCTTGCGCGGATGACGCTCACTCCACAAGAGGTTAGCGAGCCCCGCCAACAGTCAGAACTGGAATATTTTTCTTGTCCCACGTGTCACAACATGCCTCGCGCACAAGGGTCTGGGTGCACCTGGTGTCAACAAGCGCGAAGCGCTCACGCCCGTTAATCCGCACGCTCACTGCGGGTAGCGCCTTGTTCAGCGGCGATCTGGGGAGAAGACTGGCGCTGTAGCTTACTCCCGTTTCCCGGACAGCTTCTTGCTACGTGGCCCAGCTTGTCGCACCTGTAGCAACGCATACGTCTCCGTGTTCCTCGGTTATGCGTATCCTTCGCACCGCTTCGGCAGTCTTTGGAGAAGTGGTTCAGTCCGCCACATTTATAGCACCTTATGTCCTCAGTTGGCGGTGCGGGTGCTTCCACAGCTGCTGAGGCCGGCTCCGCGTCATCTTTTAGAATATTCCGGGCTCTGGCCAGTAATTCGTCTAGCCCCAGCTCATTGAGCCTTGACGATGCTCGTAGCAGTCGACTTGCGTTGTCTGGGAGTCCTGCCAGAAAGGCGCATCCTAGGATTTGGTCGCTTGCTCAACCGAACGGTGCGGCCAGCTTCCTCAAATCGGCCAGAAAGACATCTACTGCTTCATCCGGTCCAAGCCGTCGTTCGGTAAACTGCCTCCAGGCGACAAAGGGGTCCGCACCAAATGCTGCGTATAGAGCTTGTTTTATTTCCTCCAAGTCTGCGTCATCCCTTAGCTGCTGATACACAGCGTAAGCTCCTTTGGTGAGTCTAAGAGGGATAACCAGTGCGGGATCTTTAATTTTACACAGCCGGCAGACCCGCTCGGCCTTTTCCCACCACTCGACCACAGACGGGCCAGCGGGGGAGCCGTCGAACTCTGGTATTAACTTCAAGTCGAATCTGTCCATGCTGTAATAATTGCCGAAATAGCTTGTAGCAAATGAGTCGACTTGAACAGTGTAAGGGACGCAACTCTTTCCGTCTGAAAATGTCTGCAACGCAAACCGATGTACAACAAGCTTTTATGGAGCCCAGACACACCTCATTAGCATGTGTGTAACGCGACTTTGCGTGACTGCACGAGACCGTGAATATTAAAAGTCACGGACGCCATTTTGAATCTTTTCTTTCCTTTCTCAACCCACAGGCCAGGAAGATGCGAGAACGTTTGCGAGGTAGGCCGTTTCTATTTTCCCCACAATAATAATTTTGTGTATCACCTGTTTCTATGTGTGTTTACGTCATGGGTTTAGGCATTCGCCTTTAGATAAAACTATTTACTTGTACCCCGCACAGAATATCTATCTATCTATCTATCTATCTATCTATCTATCTATCTATCTATCTATTTCGGTTAGTTCAAATCTATTTCAGTGTGTTCAAATCAATCAATCTATCTATCTATCTATCTATCTATCTATCTATCTATCTATTTCGGTTAGTTCAAATCTATTTCAGTGTGTTCAAATCAATCAATCTATCTATCTATCTATCTATCTATCTATCTATTTCGGTTAGTTCAAATCTATTTCAGTGTGTTCAAATCAATCACTCTATCTATCTATCTATCTATCTGTTTCGGTGTGTTCAAATCTATCTATCTATCTATCTATCTATCTATCTATCTATCACACTCCTTTTCATTATCTATCTGTATAACTATTTCCATCTATCAATATAACAAAACCCATAGCTTTCATTGTTGTATTGTTATAATGCTGGATATAAAAAAATCTCTCTATATTTCTGAGATGAGGTATTATGTACACTATTTACATTATTCGGACTATTGTCCTCATCTTTTTTGCCATATTTATTACAACGTTTCGGCTTTTGTACGCTCCGGCCTTCTTCAGGACACATGGCACAGTGGATAAAGGCGTTAGTTAGATCTAGTGACAGGACCCAAAGAGTATTACTTCAATACCTGGTTAAGGCGGTGGAGAACTTGGAGAGGGAATTAAGCAGGCGATAACTGATAACTGACATCCATTAGACATGGCACGTGGAACTAGAACAGTCTGACCCAGTGAGCGAAATAAAGGGTTAAGTTCGACAGTCCAACCACCTGAAGAAGGCCGGAGCGTAAAAAGACGTTGCCGAAACGTTGTAATAAATATGGCGACAAAGATGAGGACAATAATCCGAATAATGTAAATAGTATAAAAAAATCAGTTTTTCTTATTACGGTTGTTTTGAAATCTGTGCTTATTTGGTTTGCAATAAATAGCAAAACAGTATCATTTCTTAAAGGATATTTTTTATTGACGAACAAAAGGTAGCTATTCCGGTTTATTTAAAGTATTTGCAATAGGTTTCCATGAAGCTATGTAAATGTTGCTAAAATATATCACGAGTAAAAAATATTCAAGACGAGGTTGGCAGAGAGAGATTTACTTGACCCCACCACTGAGTCAGGTTGTGACACATGGTTATTTTTAAAAGTGGGGACCCGAGTTTTTTCACTCGGGCCGCTGGTCTAAGCTGGTCATAGCTTTTCCAAGCTGGTGAGAGCTGGTCTAAGCTCGTCATTGCTGGTCTTAGTTGGTCATAGCTTGTCCAAGCTGGTGAGAGCTGGTCTAAGCTAGTCATTGTTGGTCTTAGCTGGTCATAGCTTGTCCAAGCTGGTGAGAGCTAGTCTAAGCTAGTCATTGCTGATCTTAGCTGGTCATAGCTTGTCCAAGCTGGTGAGAGCTGGTCTAAGCTAGTCATTGCTGGTCTTAGCTGGTCATAGCTTGTCCAAGTTGATCAGAACTGGTCTAAGCAAGTCATAGCTGGTTTTAGCTTGTCATAGCTGGCCCAAGATGATCAGAGCCGGTCGAAGCTAGTCGTAGCCGTGATACCACCAGCACAGGGACGGAGACCAGGGGAAGGTAAGTATGACGAGGTCGGGAGAGATAGAGAGTGGCTCCGTCTGAGATGCACCTTATAATTTTATTAGCCTATTGAATCGAATGGTCATGACCATTCGATTCCATGATAAGCTATAATCCAGACTAGGAGCAGATAGTTTCTTTCAAAAATTTCGTTAACATTCTTTAGAAACAGGAAAAACAACGGCTTATCCGAAAGTTAAAAAAATACTCATTTGACGGAAACAACCCATTTTCCAATAGCTCGTCTCAAAAAAGAGATCCGCCTTTGAGGTACATCTGGCTTAAACAACTTTTGTAAATAAAATAGTAGTTGACCGTTGGGAATATATATATATATATATATATATATATATATATATATTCATAAATATATATATATATATATATATATATATATATATATATATATATACAACACACACACTTGATAAAATTTCAGATGAGTTCGCTGTTGACTTACTTCAAATCACTGCTCATCAGAAACAGCTAGTCTGATGTTATTATCATTCACCTATCTCTACCTATCTCTTTTTCTCTCTCTCTCTCTATATATATATATATATATATATATATATATATATATATATATATATCCAAATGAGATATTCTTACATTGAGGGAAAATTCAATGTTCGTAACATTTACTTTTAAAAATATATATATATATCTATCTATATATCTATATATATATATATATATATATATATATATATATATATATATATACAAATTTAAAAAGAAGGATAAGTAAACAATTTCAGCGTTCAAAACATTAATTTAAAAATAGGGCTCAATACTAAGGTAGAGCAATAAATATTTATTTCTTAAGAAATGCGATTGGTCAGTTGGTGAAGAAAGAAGGAATGAAAAGATGAAGAAAACAGAGATAAAAAAGATGAGTCAGAATAAGAAATAGGAAAGATACAGAGTCAGACGGTGAGGAAGAAAGGCAATGAAACGGTAGAGGGATTGATTGAAAGAGGCACAGTTAAAAAGTGGGAAAATGGAAGAAGTAAAGGCATGCACATAGGAAAAGGAAAAAAGTTGAAGAGAGAGTGAGAAATGAAACTGGAAAGTAATATATATATATATATATATATATATATATATATATATATTATTTGTTAACTTAGAACATGTACATACCCACTACAAAACAGTACATCTTGTTTTAATTGTTATTTTTTAACGTTAGAACAATATGTACAGTTTTCAGTTGGTATTTGACATGTTCTAAGGGGATTTACTAGATAATATGTATATATATATATATATATATATATATATATATATATATATATATATATATAAATAAAAAAAAAGAACAGTAAGATATAAAATCCGGTGTTCTTATAGATATTTTATTTTTACAAAATAGTGCTCAATGTAAATTTACAGAGCATTAATATTATAAATTAATTGATTAAAATATGTTACATAATATGACATGTATACAGTCACGAGACACTAACGTGACATTTCCGCCACACTTCCAATGTTTAAATTTCAACATTTCAACATACAAATGCGTATGTATAGACATAACACCACCCGTATACATACATGTGTCATAGCCGAAACTGCCCACATATGTTTATATATGTATGAGTCCTGACGGACGACCAAGTATGTATATGTGTCTGCATACATCGATGTTTGCGTTAGTACGATGAATGACAAAACGACGAAATTTTCCCCACCACTTCCACAATAACACCAATATACGCAATCTACATAAACCCAAATTTTTAAAACATTAATCAGTTTGTCTGACGATCGCTAAAGCGTGAAACCCAGGGTCACAAACTCACATCTACCCAACCAAATATATATATATATATATATATATATATATATATATATATATATATATTTCATATAAACAAATATCTATACATTTAGTTAAAAATAGAAAGTACAAAAAAACATCTATGATAATGGCTAACAGAATAACCAAATGTGCTAGAAAATACAGAATATTTTGGATAATTTTAGATATACTTTATGACCAGAAAAGATAACAGATATACGAACATAAATAAAATTACGGCGTTCCAAATGGTCAGCACCTTTAAGTCGCCATTAAAGAAACATATATAAAAAGTCATATACACAATATATATACATGCATATATGGGAAAACGATATTTAGATTTTATCTATGAGGAAAATTTTTAATGAATATATGAGAAAGTGAAAAAAAACTTTCGTGCATGTCATTTCGTCTTTCAGGACGTCTAAAGTGATGGTTGCGGTGATACCGCTACGCATGCGCATGAACACGAGAGGATGCTGAACATTTTAAATTTAAAAGAAAATTTTTTTGAGGCATATAATTTCGTTTCGTTTTTTTTTTTTTTTTTGTTTATGCTATGATCTTTTTTGTCATTAAATGTCCGACATCGTTATAATAGAAGATTTACCAAGAAAAGTTTTAGCGCATAAATCTGGACGTAAATTTACTGCGGACGATCTAGCGATTAAGGTACTTTCTATACATTTTCGCCTCAGTAAATGGCATTATACTTTAATAAAGTTATGGTTAGACTCATTACGGCCAGCAACTAATGCACTGTTTCTTTTTTTAAATATCACTTTTGCGTTAATATAATCCGTTATTTAAATTCATTGAGGTTTCCCCGATGTAATCCTAGTGGCACTTATTACAGGAGAGCATAATTTTATCAAAAAAGCGATTTGAATTAAAAGAGAAAGACATTTACTAAAAGAAAAATGCACAAAATCACCAACCCTCGCATTCGCGCGCATGCGTAGTCACATCGCCATAAACAACATTTGAGTCCAATTAAATTTTAATGGGGGAAACGTGTCACTGTGAAAAATTTTGAATTTTGAAAAAAATTTTAATATATACATGTTGCGATAGAAACGCGGGTCGGAACTGAACCACATAAGATTCCCAAAATTTTGTCTTAACCTCTGGGAGCCATAATGAAGCCATAAAAAAGTCCCCCCTGCAAAATAAAAACATCTAATTTAAACAATCAGTGAATCATAGCACACTCGAATATGGCCTACATCCGTTGAAGACACAACGCCGCATTCACTCATATGGGCACTCGTGATCGGAGTATTAGATTATGGGAGATATACCAAATAAAAATTGCAAACGCCGTAGGCTGAATCATGACGTTTTTGAATACATTAGGTGTGTAAGTATATATATATATATATATATATCAATATATACAGTGGATATATATAGTATTTGCGCTATTGACTTTTAATTATGCTAAATCTTAGCAAGTTAGGCCAAATGACGATTTAGATGATAGATCAAGATGCAGGTTCGATTCTCCTTGAAGATAAAATTTTTGTATTTTTAACGAAATTTCTCGAAATAGAATATGCCTTATTTCCTCCCCTAAATTTATTTGCTTTCCTTCTTAACTGCCTTTCTTCCTTCCTTCCTCCTTGCCTTCCTTCTCCCCTCTCCTGATTTCAATTTCTTTTCTTCAGATGTGCCTTCCTTCCTACCTAAAGGCATTAAATATTAACCTTTAATTTCAATTTTTTGGACAATTGCCAGCATATATTAACAAGCAGGACTTGAAATTTCTGCTGAAAGAGAGGTTTACATGCCCCTGAATTTTCCTTCTCCTCTGTGTATGTGTGTATTTCTTCCTCTCCATTTTTTCCCATTCAAAAATATGCATCTCATGTTCGAAAAATGAATGTTCTATATGTGTATTGTTTTTTATCCATTGTTTTTCATTCATGAATTTCATTGCCTATATGTAATGAAGATTAATACTGTTTATCATACACACTACTTAAATAATTGTATTTATTAAAATAACGTATAAACAGAAAATGTATTAAAATAATTATCAGACTTATTCAATTTCATTATATAAATGTATATATAAAATCTTTCAGATTTTCAAATATGTTGTTTTGTTTTATCGGTAACTTTGCCAAAATTAATAATTAACTTTTATTTTAGAATTTTTTTTCAGAGTACTTTCGAATGATACTTCATTTGTTTTCAAAGATTGTTCCGTGTGTAGTTATGCAACAGGTTTTTAATTTCGGCGTTCTTACGTTTGATTCTATCAATTTTTAACACACTCAAGATCATGTCATATAAACGGTCAAAATGCTATTTTTTATGTGTGTGTATGCGTGTGTGTGTGTTTGTGTGCGTGTGTGTTAAATACAATTCAATAGACGATCCTCTACTCAGAAAGACACTTTATTCAAGGTTAGCTTATTACACCCGTTTCCTGACTTTTGAGGCTTTCTTCGCATTGTGCCCTGTATAGTATTTTGGTGTTGTAAACAAACATTTCTTTAATGTTAATATTATATCGTCTATTTGTCATATGTTCATCTACATGTCCACAAATTGCACTAAACTACGTAACAATGTGGTGCATGTGTGGCCAATGTAAGAATTTAATGCTTTTTGTTAGTGTTAGAGATACAATCTCCCAAAGGACATAAGAATATATAAACAACATTATTTTTTACATAGAGTAGACTTTTGAGGTGATGAATTATTTGCAAGAATTAGATCGGGCCTTTTTTTTTTTTTTAACATTTTATTTTATTTTAAAATAATAGATGATAAATCTTAGGTATTTGTTAAGATCTATAATATTTTTAAACCCCAGTGGATTATAATTTTAATAGCATATACATATATATATGGCACACACATACATACATTAGTACATATATATATATATATATATATATATATATATATATATATATATATATATATATATATATTTAAGATGAATTTTTATGTTTATACGTTTTTTTATAGATACAAATATTTAAATTTTTTAATCCTCTGCTTATAATAAGAAGTATTAACGACCTTTTCATGGTGTTTTAATAAGGTCGTTTTTGTTTACGCTTGAAGACAAATTTAAATACATTTTTAAGAAATGCAAACATCCCTATAGAGAAGTTTGAACTTGATGCTAAAAATCGAGCAAACTGAAGAAATTTTTGCTACCGATGTATTTAACTTTGAAAAGAATCGTCTGAATCATCTGAGAATTAAAATTAACACATAAATCTCGGTTTTTCTTAATACATCAGCTCAAATGAAAGTTTTCAACCTTTCAGCCTGTCCTTCTTCTGGACTTTTTTTGCAAATCCCGTGCAGGATTGATGTCTCATACGAAACATAAACATAAATTTCCTTCAACTGAAAGACACTCCCTTACGTCATATTGTTTATATATATCCAAATAAGAGAGAGAACAGATTGAGTAAAATTCCACTGTTCGTAGCATTTACTTTAATAAGGTGCTCAATACCAATAGATCAATATATCATTATTATTTTTTTATTATCAAAGATTATAATAAAATCATATTAAAATCGCTACACAAAAGATTTCTTGTTTCAATACCTTGACTGCATATCTTCAGGTAATGTTATGTAACTGGTGAATTTTCCTGAAGAAATACAATAAAAGTATTGAAACATTTCTTCCTTTTTTTTTTGATTTCAATATCTCTTTATTATAATCGTTTATAATAAAACTTTTATATATATATATATATATATATATATATATATATATTCCTTATATATATATATATATATATATATATATCCTGTATATCTGCCTTTTTTTTCATTCCGTGTTCTTTGTCTGGATATCTTTTCATTTCCAAATCCGTTTTTTTTTCGAAATTGTTCTTTTATTCATTCTCTCCATTCATTTAGAAGTCGTCTTTGCTTTGTGAATAACTGCTCTTCCTTGTTTTTGACCACTTTTCCCTTCAAATTTTCTTTTCCTTCCTTCTTTCTTCCTTTTTTTTACCTTCCATCTTTTCTATCCTTCCTTTTCTATCTCCTCCTCCTCCTCCTCCTCTTTTCTGTTGCATCTTTGTCTTTTTGTGTTCTCTATCGCTTCCGACCATCCTTGCTTTTTCTCTTCTTTTTAAATCTGCCACTCGTTTTCTCTTTTTCGTCGTTCACTATTTATTCTTCCACTTTCTTTATCTTCCATTATCAGTCTTTCCTGGTCAAATTTCGTCTATTTTCCTTCCTTCCTTCCTTTTCCTTCCTTCCTGCCTTCCTTCCTGCCTTCCTTTCTTCGTTCCTGCTTTCCTTCCCCCTTCCTTCCTTCCTTCCTTCCTTCCTTCCTGTCTGCCTTCCTTTCTTCGTTCCTGCTTTCCTTCCCCCTTCCTTCCTTCCTTCCTTCCTTCTGCCTTCCTTCCTTCCTTCCTTCCTTCCTTCCTTCCTTCCTTTCTTGCCTTCCTTATTTTCCTTCCTTCCTTCTTCCTTCTTTCTTTTCCTGCCTTCCTTTCCTTTCTTCTTTCTTTTTTTCCTTTTCCTTTCCTTCCTTTCTTTTTTTTCCTTCTTTCCTTCCTTCCTTCCTTTCTTTCTTCCTTCCTTCTTTCCTTGCCTTCCCCTTCCTTCCTTCCTTCCTTCCTTCCTTCCTTCCTTCTTCCTTCCTTCCTTCCTGTCTGCCTTCCTTCTTCCTTCCTTCCTTCCTTCCTGCCTTCCTTTCTTCGTTCCTGCTTTCCTTTCCCCCCTTCCTTCCTTCCTTCCTTCCCTTCCTCCTTCCTTCCTGCCTTCCTTCCTTCCTTCCTGCCTTCCTTTTCTTCCTTCCTTTTTTCCTTTCTTCCTTCCTTCCTTCCTTCCTTCCTTCCTTCCTTCCTTTCTGCCTTCCTTCCTTCCTGCCTGCCTTCCTTTCTTCGTTCCTGCTTTCCTTTCCCCCCTTCTTTCCTTCCTTCCTTCTTTGCCTGCCTTTCTTCCTCGTATTTCCTCCCAATCTTTCTTTCATTTTCGTGCCACTTCTTTATATATTACTTTCCTTCGTTCATTTCTCACTCTCTCCTACACAACTTTTTTCCTTCTCCTATGTGCATGCCTTTCTTCCTCTCCATTTTCCCACTCATTAACTGTGTCTCTTTCAATCACCCCCTCTACCGTTTCATTGCCTTTCTTCCTCACCGTCTGACTCTGTATCTTTTCCTATTTCTTATTCTGACTCATCCTTTTTATCTCTGTTTTCTTCACTTTTCATTCCTTCTCTTCTTCACCAACTGACCAATCGCATTCTTTTTTTTTTCTTTTTCATTCATTATCTTCTTTTGTTTCTCTTTCTACTCTTTGTTTCTTCATCATTTTCGTGATTGACCCCCTTTCATTCTCTGTTTTTCCTTTCTTCTCTTTCATTCTCCTTTCTATTTTCATTTCACAGCCAAAGCCTTTACAAACCAAACAAACGATATACACCTCGAACAATTCATTTGCCGGGTCAAAACCAAATTTACACCCCTTTCTCTTCCAGAAAATTCATTTTCCGACAACTTCTGATGAAAACACTCCATTGCCCCCCAAGCCATTTCTGTGCATTCATTTTATTATAAAACTTTGCCGTCGCAATTTCTTTCACGACATTTTCCGAACGCTGATTGGCTAAAGATAACATTTTTAGTTCTTTATTTCCCCGGCACTTCTAATCAATATGCCAGAAGTTTGCGTGAAAGTTTTACCTTTACTTAGTTCTTCACTGGAAAAGACATCTTTGCCGATCATTTTGCGCCTCCTCAATTTACCGTTCTTTTTAGCATACCATACTCGAAATGTAATTTTATCTCTTCATGACCTCGAGTTGTTTCGAAGATCGCTCATGGCTTAGCATCTATCTCTTTCACAAATTATTAGCAAAGCTGCGCACAAGTCGACCGGAATAATTTCATTTTATTTTTTTTTTTACTGTGTTATCAGAATGCTTAGTAACCCTGTCTCAAAAGTCATTTGTAGTAAGTTAGTTAGCGTGACGTTGTGCAACTGATTTCCACATGCAAACGTTTAACGATGGCATTTGTGCAGTAATTTTGATATTGTCTATAAATTAAGTGACTTTTTTTTTAATGGGTCGTCTACTCTCGTGGTAATATTAATTATCGTCTTTTTCTTCAACTCTACCTCCTGCCCTTTCTCCTCCTTAACTCCTCCTCTGGCTCACTCTTCTTCTCGATCTCACCCTCTGCGCCCCTGCTCTTCCTCCTTACTCACTGCTCCTTTTGCTTCTTCTTTACCTCCACCTCTTCAACATTCTTTACTGTCTCCTCTTCTTCTTTATCTATCTATCTATCTATCTATCTATCTATCTATCTATCTATCTATCTATCTATCTATCTTAATTTTCAGCTCTTTCTTCTTCTTTTTCTCTATCCATCTGTCTATCTAGCAGTCTGTTCATATCTATCTATCTATCTATCTATCTATCTATCTATCTATCTATCTCAGTATGTTCATGTTAATCTATATATCTCAATCTCTCCATATGCATATCTATCTATCTATCTATCTATCTATCTATCTATCTATCAGTCTTTTACTCTGTTCATATCTATCTATCTATCTATCTATCTATCTATCTATCTATCTATCTATCTCAGTATTTTGTTAATCTATATATCTATTTAAATCTCTCCATATATCTATCTATCTATCTATCATCTATCTATCTATCTATCTATCTATCTATCTATCTCTTCTTTTATCTTAATTTTCTATCTATCTATCTATCTATCAATTTCTATTCCATCTGTCTATATCTTAATTTTAGCTCTTTCTTCTTCTTTTTCTCTATCCATCTGTCTATCTATTTCTGTTCATATCTATCTATCTATCTATCTATCTATCTATCTATCTATCTATCTCAGTATGTTCATGTTAATCTATATATCTCAATCTCTCCATATGCATATCTATCTATCTATCTATCTATCTATCTATCTATCTATCTATCTATCTATCTATCTTCATTCTTTCTTTACCTCGAGCTGGTGTTCCTTCGTTACCTTCTTCTCTTTTTATTGCCTCCCCTTTCTTTCTTTCTTTCTTTCTTTCTTTCTTTCTTTTAAATATTCCGACATCTCCTTCGTTTCGTTAACCTCTTATTCTTTCTTTCTTAGAATTCTTTCTTTTTATTCATCTTTTCTTTCTTTCTTTCTTTCTTTCTTTCTTTCTTTCTTTCTTTCTTTCTTTCTTTCTTCTGTACATACTCGGCCTTTTTTTCAACCTCAGCTGTCGTCTTTTTCTTCTTCTCGATCTGAAACTTCCCCTGTTCCAGCTTCTCCTCCTTCTTTAACCCCCCCCCTTCCTGGTCTGTCTTATTCTTTACCACCTATTCATTCGTATTTTTGTAGACTTTCTCTTACAGATGCTTTCGCTTTTCTTCCTCTTCCTCCTCCTCTTTCTCCTTTCCCCTCCTGTACCTTCTTTATATACTCCCTTTTCTCCTTTCTTTCTTTCTTTCTTTCTTTCTTTCTTACAATATTCTATTCCTCCTCCTCCCTTTATTTCTTTCTTAACAACATACCCATTTCTTTTTTTTTTTCTTCTTCTCGCCCTCACCAGCCTTTCTCCTCTGGAACTTCCATTCGGTCTGTTGTTCCTACTCCACCGCTTTCTTTCTTTCTTTCTTTCTTTCTTTCTTTCTTTCTTTCTTTCTTTCTTTCTTTCTTCTTTTTCTTCTTCTTCGTCTTCTTCTTCTTCTTCTTCTTAACTGTTGTACTTCTTTTTACCCCCTCCTCATTATTCTTCCTATTTTTATGCATCCTTGGGTATATACTGTCGATAAGGGAGAAATTGCAATATTTATTCCCATCCGATGTTTCTGTAATGAGGGATGTTCATCCCATGCCTCGACCTTCCCTATTCCCCTTTTCAAAACAGATCTTGTTGCTGATATCGGCGGACTTACAACATCCACTATACAATAAGGCGTTTGCTGAAATATTCCCAGCCCAAATAAGAAGAGATTTCTCGAAATATTTTGTTTGAACATTCGAATAAATTTGGGAAACCTTTTCAATCTTACTTCATATTTTTCGTTTTCTTTTTTGAAATGATGGCTTGGATTGGATGATCAGTTTATATTTGAAAAACTTAGAATTTTACTTATTTTAGTCTCACGGCCATCTTCTTATTTGTATTATGGTGTTCGGACAGTAATTACACCCGCTTTGAATGTTGAGTCAACAAACCAATCCAGAAAAAGTATTGGATGGTAAGAAATTGCGCTTAGAATTGGTTTAACATTTTCTTCGATAAGGGTGCCGCCCTGTCGGCTGCAGCCTCAGAATACACCGATTGCCTTTCAGAAGACGAGTAATACGCCCTCCCCACAATGAGACGTCTTGGGTATGACGAAAAACTACATCCAACAGGTTTTGAGTAGTGTAGAAACACATCTTAATTTCTGGTTTTCCCAGGTCCACACTGATCTGGGATTGGAGCATCTGTTAGGGGGTCCCAGCTATGAGCAAATACTTAACCTCCCGCCTGGGGTCAAAATATTATAAAGGTATAAAAATAGGTTTTAATTCGAGCAATGCAGTTTTGAAGAAAAATTATTACCAGCAATACATTTTGGAAAAAAAATACCAGCAGTAAAAATCTTGTTGGCATTAAATAACCCATTGAGGTGTTGATATGCTGTAAGCTAAACCAATCCAAACCAAACCGATCGATAAGGATATATGGAAAGTAATGACGTATTTCACCGCTATAATTTACGACGCAGCCAATCAAGAAGGGAAATAAAAGTTGAAGAGTAGGAATCTTGGCAAGTTTTCTCAATGAAACGCTGAAATAAACCGTAAGTATATATTGTCAGATAGAAGAGATAATAAACTAATTCTAGAAGCAGAGGGAATTTTAGATTCCCATATCTTGGGATAAGCGCCGTCGCGGTTGTGGAAGGTTATCGAGTTTCCTCAGCGAGAGTCGGTCGGCCTTGAGGGCAATGCCTCGGTCGAGTGACCTTTCTCGGCATCGGAGTCTATTGTATCATGAATTAGTGGAGGGGGTCGTGAAAGATCCTCTGTGTGACCGGCTCTGTTTATCGGCATCGGAGTTGCGCTCTTTGTGGTCCTGGGTGCCAGCGGCGGATTACCACAGTAATTGAGTTTTTGCCTTGCTGGCGATTGATTCGCAACGTGCTACTTCTCAATGACATACTCTTCAGATGGGGCCAGGCAGATTTGCCAGACTGTCATTAGTGTGACCTTGGTTTACAAGAAACGTCTGTGCACGCTTTCTACCATTGTCTTCAGGTGCGCCACTTATGGGAGTATGTCGGGGAGTTGACGGCTCGTATTGCTCCTGAGCAGCTCGTGTCCATTGTCCGGAGTAAAACGGATGGTATTTTTCACGTTGCTAGCCGTTGCTAGAATGGTGGTGTAGACGTCACGAAAGGAGGGAATCTTGCGAATTAACCGTTTTTGTGTCAGGATCTGGTTGTTTTCTTTAAGCACCAGCTTAGAGTAAAAAACAGATCCGATCAAAAGCGTTTGATTCCGACAGATTTCAACGAAAGGTGGGTGACTGAGGCGAGCCTGGTTCGTGTGGACGGGGCTAACCTTGATTTTCTCTTCTAATTTAGCTTGATGCAACGGGATGGTTTTTTGTGAATCCTCTCTTGGTTAAGTTAGCGCCATTTTGTTTCCCTAGTTAATGAGTTTAAGTACTGTTCCCGGCACTCTCTCATGCCGAGATTCCCAAACTCCCCAAATTTTTGTTGTTCTTTGTTTTTATCTCGGCTGGTTCAGTCTTTGATTTTTCCCATTCCGTCATTTATTTTACCCTGTCCATTCCATTAATGAGTATTCTCCTTGATTCTGTTTATTGGCAAAATACAGTAGCCTCTCTTAATATTTCGAGGGGTGGACGGTTCCTACTAACATTGTTTTGTTTTCGTTGTATCTTTTGTTTTATTTTTCGGGATTCTTTCCCCCCCCCATCATTTCCCGAATCATGAGATTTTTATTTATATATATTTAAGGACTTTCAAATTTTTGTCATGGGATGTTTTGTAGGTTCCTCTACGAGTGTGTGGTATTTTGGTGTATGTGATGGATAAATTCTTGTAGTAAATGTGTAAATTATCATGAATGAATTGGTCACGAGTCGGATTAACAAAGACTAGGACAGCTAAGGAAGACCAGCCCCTCCTTTTTTCTCCTTCGGTCATGTGCCACAATTCCGGTATTTTAAGGAATAAAGATTGGGAACTTTGGGTTCCCCATGAATTCTACTTTGAGAACTGAACACTGCAGAGTAGGACAGGCGGCCGTATCATACGGAGAGACGTCCTTAAGAAAGGCACCAGTAACCCTTTCATGAAATGGACTAACCTGTCCAACTGCAAGACGTTGCATGCGTGTGAACAATGCAAATATAAATAAGGCTAGCGGGAAGCCTGGAAAAATGGACATATTGCAACCAAAATCGCTGTCTGTGTAAGCTTCCTTGACCTGTAAGACTTTTATTGTTTGCACCAGAAAAGATTGCTTGTTTTGAATAATTTCTTCGTGCTTTGGAAATTTGAAATACATTTATGTTAAGTTATTTTCGCTAATTTTTCTTTTCTTTTATTTGTTTCTTCATCTTTTCATTTTCTAGACATTTCGTATTTATTTTCGACTGCGGTCGCATTTGAATTTTTTCTGGTCGGACGTCAGTCTCACAAGACAACTATTTTTGTTTTGCAACTTGTTTTCTTTTTGTTTGCATATTTCAATTGGATTTTATTTTATTTATTTAACGGAATTTCTTAAAGAAAATATTGAAAATCTAGTTTTTCTTTAAGTTATTTTTTTTTAGCCTGTAGGTGAGCATTTATTGTTCCCGTTTTCATTTTTTTAGCAGCCATTTGCATTTTTGTTCTGCTTGGTCGGTCTTAAGTCCTTCTTGACAACAGTTTTTGTCTTACCTTTTGTTTATCGCTCAGTTAATTTTATTTTAATTTATTAGAAATAACTTTTAAATAATTCACATTTTTGACATTTAAATTTGACCAGCACTTTTTTTTTTTTGCCTGTGAGCAAACCTTTTTTTCAATGTTATTTTTGGCTTCGGCCATCTTTTGTTTTTGTTTTTTTTTCTCTTCTGGTTGGACATAAACCTACCAGACAACTGAATTTATTTAATTTATACTACATTTGGATTATTTACACTATTTACATTAGTCGGACTATTGTCCTCATCTTTGTCGCCATATTTGTCACAACGTTTCGGCCGTTGTACGCTCCGGCCTTCTTCAGGTGGTTGGAATTTCGAACTGAACCCTTTATTTCGATCACTGGGGTAGACTGTTCTAGTTCCACGTGCCATGTTTGATGGATGTCAGTTATCAGTTATCTCCTGCTAATTTTCCCTCTGAAAGTTCTCCACTGCCTTAATCAGGTATTGAACTCACCTTCTTTGGGCCTGTCACTGAATCTAACCAACTCCTTTATCCACTGTGCCATGTGTCCTTGAGGGACTAGTGTTTTCCCCTATTTTGTTTTTTGATCGTCTTTTAGTTTAAAAATCTTATAACTCATAGATTTCATTTTAGCCTGTAGGTGAGTCTAATTTTTGTTTTTCATTTTTTAAGTTTATTGCTGCTAATATTTATTTTTCCTTCCACCCCTCCACTTCCCTTCCATTAGTTATGTAATTACATCAAGCAAAATTAACACGCTCCGTGAATTAAAAAAAAAATCCTAAGTGGAGTCGGTCAGGAAACATTGGTTTAATGTAAAAACGGATCCACCCGACAAAAATAGTATTGGGGAGTACCCGGTACTAAAGGGTACTCCGTAATCCGATAATCACTAATGGCCAAGATGTGACCAATACCAAAACTAAGGTGACCGATAATGGCCAAAATAGTATGAAGGCAAAGAGTCAAGAATCGGACAATATAAGTGACAATGCTGAGGCCGAAGAATTGCCAGGATGTTGTAGAGCAGAAATGAATTATCAAATATAGCCGAGTTTTTGGAGTGTGTAAAGAGTTACGCTCATCTTGTGGTAGAAGGTGGACGTTTGGAAGACTTCCCTAGGAACTATTGAAGATTGAAATGAGAATAATGTCAGTCATAGTGGTGGACAAGATCACGTGGAAAATTTGTTGCTCCAGGAAAGGCAGAGTGGTGAAATCATTGGATTCCTTGGGGGTTAAGCCATAAAGAATTGTTAAGGGTGCCTTTTTCTATGTCAGAATATTGCGTGAAAATTTCTAGTTTGGATCTTATCACAAAAGACCCAATCCTTAAGACCGAGTATGAATCCAGGCGTAGAAACTTAGCAATATTCGAGGTATCTTTTCAGTTCATAGGAGAGCATCTGGCTGCAGTTCTGCAATATACTGGTTACCTCTTGCGATCCGGGAGATGGAGTTTTGGATTAATGTTGGATCGTAATGCCTTCTACTCTATCACCAACTGTCTGGAAGTAGGGTCCTGAAGTTACCGCTCATTGTGACTGGCTGTAAACTACAAGTTGGAAGTGAGGAGAGACTGGTTATCTCTCCTCTTCCTGCCTAGAAAAGAAGGCCTTTGGAAGTCAGGCCTCAGATTACCAAAATCCTTCCCTGACCTTGTCTTTAAGTTCCGTCACACCTGTAATAGGATTGTCAGCTGTCAGGATCGGTATGTTTAGAACCCCAGTTGCGTTGAGGTCTCAGTCCCCATTTCCCGAAAAGACTTCGCTCGTTGCTTGTGCAGTTGTGGATAC